ATTTGGCTTGTCAGTACACAGGGAATCTTTCCATCATTTCCACATTATATCATTACATATATACACAATTCAATCTATGACAGGAAATACAATAAACATTCATGTACATAACACCCAGTTTAACCTTTGCTAGCATTTGTCATATTTTTCCCCATTTTTCTGAAACATTAAAAATAGATATCTCAAATATTGCACCCTTCTATGTCAGCCTGTATCTCTCTAAAAACACATTTTTCCTATATAAAGCACAATATCATTATTATACCAAATAAAACCTAAAAACCCTTAAATTTATTGCCACAGAGTCAGAACTGTCTCATAACTGACCTTTCAGCAGGTTTTCAGAGGCTAGAAATCACGGGGAAGGCAGTTGTCCGTCTTTCTCCTTGGTAGATTGAACACTCATCCTTGGATTGGCTGCACAGTTTTCTAACTACGAGGCCACCAGAGCTCTTCACTAAATAAGATCATGATTGAGGACTTCAGCTGCTCCGCAGGAGAAGGATGGACAATCTCCTCAGGGTGATTAACTGCTTCTGAAAACTGGCTGGAGGGTCAGCTGTAGGTTAGTTCTGATTCTACGGTACACAACAACATCATTATCTGATACTGCGGCTCATATACAAACTTCCCGGTTATACCTAAACATGTTTTACACCTGGCTTATTGAACCAAAATAATCTGAAGACAATGGTATTTCCCTATTACAGCTCTTCATTTTTTTTTAAACCTGTGACATCCTTCCCACAGACCTGCCTTTTTTTTTTTCAATGACAATGATTTCTTTAACACACTAGTTCACTTGTTTTGCAGGTGGGTGTGCTCCCTTAGGTCCTACCATACCTGTTTAGTATACCTATCTACCTATCTACTCATTAGTAACAATTCTAGATTGTTAATACTATTGTTACAAAATTACCGGCTACTTCCCACAGTTGCCCTTTCTTTGTGCATCCCTCTCAGTGCCTTCTTTTGCCTTGGTCATGCTGTACTGACTTTTACATTGTCTATTCCTTTTCTCTTCACCATTGTGAAAATGCCTGCCTAGTTATCAATTTCCCCTCGTCTCTCCCATCCCTGATAACCATCAAAGAATAGTTTCCTTATACATAAAACCTTTCATTTTTGTTATTACTGAGTTGTCTTTTCCCTAATAGTGATCTTAGACAATTTTTCTCCTTTTCAATTGATTTCTTTCTTTCAGCTTAACACTCTCCTGATCAATATTTGTTATGAGATGACTTGCAAGTTCATTGTTGCTATTTTAATTGTTGTGTAATATTTTATTGTGTGCATACTACAGATTGTTTACCCATTCATCAACTGATGGACATTTAAGTTTCCTTCTTGTTGCTATTGTGAATAATGCTGAATGAGCATGGGCATGCATGTGATTCATGTGATGGTTATTTACTTATAGTATACACCTAGAATTGGAATGGCTAGATCATATAATATTTCTATTTTTGGCTTTTTAAGGAAGCACTGTATAATCTTCCATAGTGACTACCATTTTCTATTTCTACTATCAATATGAGAGTTCCAATATACTCTCAACCTCACCAAGATATAGATTGCTTTTGGTAGTATTGACATTTTTACAACAAAAATCTTTCTATCCTTGAGAGTGATATGCTTTTGAATATATGTGGGTCTCTTATTTCTTGCAGAAGTGTTTTGTAGAATTGTACACTAATGTTCATAGGAATTTTATTCACAATCTCAAGAACGTGGTAATAGCTCAAATGTCCAACCACAATAGAATGGATTAAGAAATTGTGATACATTCAAATGATGGGATACTATACAGCACTTAGGAACAACAATTTTGAAAATTACTGTATAACTTGGGAGGAACTGGAAATCATTATGCTGAGTGAAATGATTCCATCTCATAAGGACAATACTGCCTAAGAGCATTATTTTGGAAATAAAAAGATAGCTAGTAAACATGTATGAGGATACAAGGCAGGGAGCAGAGGTGTGAGGATGGGATATCAGTTTGGTCGGTGGAGAGGAGTGGTAAAAGAAATGGGAAATATCCGGCTAGAGTCCAGAAAGAATAATGGTTGGCATGATTCAATGGTGATTAATTTTATAAAATAAAATGAATGATTGTGTGAAACACAATGTGAATTAAGGATGGTGTGAAACACAATGTATACGTGTATATACTATGTAAGCAAACAAATACAAAATAAATTTTTAAAAAATAAAAATTATAAACGAAGTATTTTGTAGTTATCTTGGTATCAATTTTTTTTATCCATGGGTAGAGTTCATCCTAAGTATCTCACCTTTTGGGGGCCTATTGTAAATGGTATTTTTTCCCTCATTTCCTTTTCAAGTGCATTTTGTTGATGTAGAGATATCTGGCTGATTTTTGAATGTTGATCTTACATCCTGCTACTTGCTGAATCTTTTCATTTATTCCATTTCTTTCTTGTGGAATTTTTGAGATTTTTCTGTGTTTGGGATCATATTATCTAGAAGTCATACAATTGAGTCAGTTCTCACTCATATCAAGTGCACAAATAATTTCTTTTATAGTGATTGGTATAATTGATGTCTCTAAGGTGAAGGCAATGTCCCAAATGTTCAAACTTCTAGACCATTCTGTCATCTCTGGTATTAATTATTCCTCCTCCCTTCATTCCTCCTACTCTTACATCTTTGGATTCTGTGATTCAATAGAAGGTCTCACAGACACTCAACAAACTAAAAAAAAAAAAAAAGGAAATGGCTCACTCGACTGTGGATGACATAGACCAATGTGTTTTGTTGCAGAGGCTGGTCAACAATGTGCCAGGAGTCGGCAGGCAGAGGCTGTCAGCTGAATCAAGTTAGATTCAGTGTCTCAGTGAATGAGGGTTATTGTTGCTGTTGTGTACTGTTGAATTGGAACCGACTCATAGCTGACCCTCCATCAGATTTTCAGAGGCTAAATCACATGGGAGAGTAGGGAACAACCTTCTCTAATGGAGCAGCTGGTGGATTCTAACCACATGCCATTAAGATTGCAGAGCAGCTTCTTACCACAAGGCGACTGGAGCTCAACAAAGTTAAGCTTCCTTTATGCAGGAGCTCAGTGTTATAAACCATGGTCCCAGGAGAACTATGATTAGTGACTTGGGTAATAACTTCCTGTAGGGTAGTGTTGTTATTACGTCCCATCGAACTGACTACAACTCATAGCAGTCATATGAACAATAACTCTGAAACCTGCCCTATCCTGATCCAGTCTCACAGCCTCTGACACACCGGCCCCCATTGTCACAGACACTGTGTTATTCCATCTCATGCAGGGTCTTCCTCTTCTGCACTGATCTATAACAGCTAGGAAGGTAGCATGCAATTCAATCCAATGAGCTGACTTAGTTTCCTTGGTCAGGGTCCTTCCATCTACTGGACTTAATGCAGAAGCTCTCCACATCAAATATTGCCACTTACCCCTGGAAATGCCATCTGTGAACCAAGCACCTTCTGTTGGCCATCAGGAAGTTGTTCATAGGACACTGTCCTTGTGGCAGTGGGCTCTACTACCCTTTCCTGTGGTTCCATGGTAGGAGCAATTGGGACAACAGGCTACTAGCTCTGGAATACGATGCGTTCTTCACTGCATTGTGCGGTGACTAATGGATCATTTCCATTTTATCATAGAACTATTTGGGGCATTACTTCTTTATTAGAGTGTTTCTCCAACATCATTTAAGACATGATGGATAGTTTAGGTCTTATGTGTCAAGTGCGTTAGTGGTTGGCTACCCAATGCGGACTGAGAGTGGGGTGGAGCTCCCCCGATTAAAAAGCGTGGAAGGAGGAGTGGCACCCACTTCCATAATAGCTTGCCTCTGGAAACCCTATGAACCTGGAGAGAGGATGAAAGGCACCCAAGCGTCGAGGATTCTCCTTCATAAGGTCGCTATGAGTCGCCTGCGACTCGACGGCACTTAACAACAACAACAACAACATACTTTTACATGCTTCTTTTATTGCAGCCGTCTGAGTCAATGCCCATAGATGGCCCTTTCTAAGGCTGTAAATCCCACAAAAGGAGATTGTCTGTCTTTTTCTCAAGATTCATTGGAGTTGCCAGAAGCATTGCCTATGGGTTAGCAGTGCGATTTGTTATGGACTAGTTCTCTACTCCACCCTATAAGATGAATATGGTCTAAATGATCCCCTTGGCATACAACAAGGATGCTTAATTTTGGTTTTATGTTTGTATTTCTTTTATAGTTGTTGCTCCTAAGAACATTAACAAAAATCACTCCTCATACCGACCCAGGTACTTGTGATTATTTTATGATTCCCAATTTTGAAAGGTAGTCTAGGGGTCTCCAAGGTTACATAGTCAATAAACAACGTCGGGATTTGGAACTGGGCCTTTAAGTACACTAGGAAAGGCATTCGAAGGAGCTTCTCCATGAAGGGAAGGGTCCTTGCAAAAGCATGAGATGAAGAGTGCTGGGTTTGACACACTCATCCAGAGGAACTCCTGATGCTAGGATAGCAAAACCGCATGGAACATGGAACAGCCAGGGAGATCGACAGGGTTGAAGCATGTCTTCAGATTCAACCAGAGCAGAGGTCCCTAAAATAAAGGAGAGATACTAGGCTCCAAAAACCACAAGCCTGAGAAAGCACGGTCCTGCCTTGCCCTAGTGTGCTCTACCTGCCAATCAGAAGCGAAAGGAGGCGGTACATTAAAGGAGCATATCCAATAAGGATGCAGTCAGAGCTGCTTCCGCAAAGAGTATTTCAAAGTTCAAGTGGAGAAAGGAGGAGAAGGGACTTGACCAATCAAGGGTTGTGATTTTCGTCGGCGGACGCTGACAGCCAATAAGCCGACTTGCCCCGCTTTCTTCTTTTGGAAAGAGGCGGGACTGGGGCGGGACAGAGGATGGTGGCAACCCCACAGTCAGGGTCAATGAGCAGCTTTGTCTACTTCTCACAATTCTGCTTTGGACTCCTGGAACGGTGCAAGCATCTGGTGGGACATGGCGAACTCAGACTGTGGGCACTGCGGGAACCATGAAAAAGACAGTTTTCTATACTTCGCCTATGGCAGTAATCTGTTGTCAGAAAGGATCCACCTCCAAAACCCCTCGGCCACCTTCTGCTGTGTGGCCCGCCTGCAGGTAAGTGCTCTGTGGCCAGTCTTCCTTATCCCTTGTTGTGGCCGGTTTACGTTATTGTCAAGTCGATTGTGACTAATTTTGTTGTGATTATCAACTAATAGTGGCTCTATAGGAGAACATAGGACTACTCTCATAGGGTGTCTATGACTGCCAGAGTGCCAGGTCTTTCTCTGGACGAGCTACTAGATGAGTTCAAGCCACAGACTGTGTCGCCAGGGCTCCTGTTTACTGAGCAGTGAGAAGTCATTTTACCAGGGTAGAAATCTCCTTTTTAAAAATTACTTTTATTTGTTGAGAATGTACATGACAGAACTCTGAACTCAAGTTCATAACTGTCGCTTTGGAACCCACCCTTCGCTGACCCTCCAGTGGATTTTTGGAGACTGTAAACTGCACAGGAGGAGATTACCCATCTTTCTTCTGTGGGACGACAGGTGGATTTAAACCACTTTTGCATAGTAGCACAAATTCTATGGACGATGCACACAACAGAGCATTTAGCAATTTAACAATTTCTACAGGTACAACTCAGGGCATTGAGTATATTCTTGAAACTGTGTAACCATGTTCCTTGCCTTTTCAGACTTGTTCCTCAATAAAATTTCCTATTTAATCTTTCACAGTTTCTTCTTGATTAGAGTACATTAAGATTCTCATTAACAATTGTATTTATTTCCATGTCACACTACCCTACACTGAATTCGTTATATTCAACTTTGCTATCCTAGCAACTGTGCCCTCTTGGTCACTAAGAGTTCCACCCTACCCACATTCCACTCCACCAACGCTTGCTAATGTTTACATGGTGAGAGAAGCACTAGTGGCGTGTATGAGTTGTGCTGCTAACCCAAAGGCTGTCATGATGGGCAGTCACCTCCCATTATTATTTACAGCTTCAGAGTCCCAGTGGAGGGTCACTAGGAGTCAGAACCAACTCAATGGGAGTGACTGAGTGAACATTTAAACATTCTGCACGTGTGCCTAGCCTTGTACAGATTTGAGCTCTTCTCATGTCCGTGGACTGACAAAAGAATTAACATATGTCTTGGAGAAGGTACAGCCAGAGTGCTCCTTGGAGTCAATGATAACAATGATTCGTCTCACACACTTTGGGTATGTTGCTAGGAGAGACTATTCCTTGGAGAGAGAAATCATACTTAAAAAGATAAAGCATGAGCAAAAGAGAGGAAGACCCTCGACTAGGTTTTTTGGCACAGTGACTGCTGCAGTGGGCTCAGTATGTAAGAAATTATGTAGATGAAACAGGATAAGACAGGGACTGTTGTTCATAGGGTTGCTATGAGTCATAGGGTTGCTATGAGTCATTCTTGACTTCACAGCACCTAACAACAACATGATGGATTAGTTCATGGCCCTCCCCATGAATCCATATTCACTTGGTGCCTCTGCAAAGGCTACTTCCACCCAAATCGAGAAATATGTTGTTTTCTGTTCTGTACTTTTGTTAACAGATACAGACTTATCAGTTGTCACTTAAGATTACAGACTACACTAGGGCCTGGTAGTTTATTGCTAGACCCAATGGAGAGTTTTAACTTCTGGCCTTATTCTACCTTTCAGCAGATTCCTCTCACTGTCTTCTCATCTATTACTTGGAAAAATCTGTTCAGCTGCCTTTTGCTGCTGATCTGGGAGGGCCTGTGTCTTGCCCACAGAGACCACTTGTGCTCAGTTAAGTCATTGGGTGAAAAGTCACTATCTTTAGTAAATCATTGCTCGTCAGTATATCCTGTTCATTCTCTTTGCACTTGCTTGGAGAAGCAAAGATGACTGAGTCAAGTGCTGCTTTGAGAACCTTCTTGTCTGTGGGTGGGACATGGAAACAACTTCTATGCAAACCTTTTGACCTTCTTGAACTAGACAGACATGCTCTTTGCTATATGTGTCAGTATTATTCTTTACAAGCAGCTAAAGCTGGCTGATTTAAGCAGAAAATACTGAAAGGTTGTTGGAGAGCTCACAGAATGACCAGGAAGGCAGGAGCCCCAAGCTGACAAAGCAGGGAGGCATGAAAGGAGGCAAGGGAACTCTTACCAGCTGGTGTCACCCAGAAGGCCAGGGAGCGCTATTGAAGCACTGTGGGGCTTTACCAGGATGGCCTGCCTGCCAGCAGCACTATACCCTGAAGTCCTCAAAACCCAGATGTGGTCACTACCACCAGAGCAAAGTACTTACTGGTCCAGCTTCTGATTTAGAGAGCCAAGGGGGTGTCCTCATTGGCCAAGTCTTGGCCATGTGCCCATTTCTTGGCTGCAAGTGAAGCTGGGAAAACCAGCTTCTGAATTTTGGAGCTTCTAAACTAGGAGGAGGGCTCTGATATGCCCCAACCCATAAAGAGGGGAAAGAGAGTGCAGATGCTTTAAGTCTGGAGTGAGGAGTATAAGAGAAGAGCTATCACACACTTTCACTCACACACTTTCTCTCTCTCTCTCTCTCTCTCACACACACACACACACACACTCTCACACACACAATCGGTTATAGTCGATCTTTAAAAGGAGACTTGAAAGGTCCAGCATTGCACTGTGTGAGTGGAGGATCTGGATTTGACCTAATTTGAAGGTCAGGAAAGTTGTCGTGAAATGTGCCTTTAAAGCTAAGACTTGAAGGATCTGGGGGACAGGACAAATAACTGGAACAGCGTGTGCAAAGGATCTGAGGAAGGAAGACACTAGGTCTTCCAGACATGTGGCTACAGTTTAGAGAGGGGAACGTGATACAGGGACTAGGAATACAGAGAAGGGCCAGACTTTGGGACAGCAGAGTTCAGAGGAGACTTTGAATTTTATTTCTAGTCCCGTCACAGAATTTACACAAATAAAGGATTAGGTTTACATCTGTAAAAAATCATTCCGGTTGCAATGGAGGATGAATTGAAAGGAAGAGTGTCAAGGGTAGACATGGGGAGCCCCCTTAGGAAGTTATTTAACCACTGGGTTCAGTGGCTTCTGAACTAGGGTGGAATCAAGCAAATAGGGGTGTTTGAGAGGTATTTAGGAGATAACATTGTTAAGGTTTGGTGATTAAAACAGGGAGGAGATAGGAAGAATATCAAAGATATCAAGGTTTTTATTGCAACATGTTTGATGATGGTGATGTTTACTGAAAGAGGAAAAACAGGTTTGGGAGGGAAATTGTTAAATTAAATTTTTAATACTGAGTTTGAGGTGCTTGCAAGATAGCCAAGGGATCAAAAATAGTAAGATTTGTTTAGTACTTCCTAAGAGACAAGCCTTGTTGGCAGCATTGTGATAGGTGAAGAAGAGATTGAGATTGTTAACAATTCCATCTTACTCAGCCATCAACACTCTTGGCACCAGCAGTCAGGAAATAAAAAAATGAGTTGTATTTGGAAAGTTTACTGTCAGGGACCTCTCTAGAGTGCTGAAGAGCAACAGTGTCAGTCTAGAGACTAAGGTGCACCAGATCCAGGGACTGGTCTTCTCAATTGCTTGCAGTGCATCAGAGAGCTGGACAATGACTGAGGATGACAGAAGAAAAATCTACGCCTTTCAGTTGTGGAGCTGGAGAAGAGTATGGAACAAACCATGGACTACCAAGAGAACAAACAGGTCTGTGCTGGAGAGAGTGAAACTGGGTTGCTCCTTGGAGGCAAGGACTTTGAAACTCTGTCTCACATACTCTGGGCATGTCGCCAGGAGGGACCAGTCCTTGGAGAAGGATATCATGCTTGGAAAGGTAGAGGGTCAGCGCAAGAGAGGAAGAACCTGGATGAGATGGATTGACATAGTGACAGGGTAATGGGGGCAGGTGTATCAGAGATAGTGAGGTTCGCTCAGAATAGGGCAGAATTCAGAGCTATGTCATAGTCAACAACACATAACAAGAAGTGATAGACCCTGTTCAAAGTACTTTTGAAGTTTGTCTTGGACAAACTACTAGGTAAAGTGAGAAGGGAGCCTGGACCAAGTCCCAGGAAATCCGAACCTTTACAGACCAGATCTAGGAGGAAAATTGACAATGGAAACTGAGATCAAGGATCAGCCTAAACATTGGAAAGGCAGTAGATCAGGAGAGAATGGTCAAATAGCCAGAAAATGCTGAGAAACAAGAAAAATATGAGAAATGGAAATAGTCTTGTGTACAACGAATTAAGTAGTATGGCACACTTTCATCCATGGTGTTGGTCTGATTGTTGTTGTTGTTGTTGTTATGTGCCATCGAGTTGCCTATGACTTAGCGACCCTATGTACAACAGCTCTGAACCCTGCTTTGTCCTGAGCCAGTCTCACTAATTCTGACACACCAACCCCCATTTACCCCATTACTGTATCATTCTATCTCATCAAGGGACTTTCTCTCCTGCACTATCTCTCTACCCTTCCAAGAATGATGTTAGAGCTTCAAAATATGATTTAACAACACACACACACACACACACACACACACAGAGGAAAAACTTGGTTTTACCCCCCTCTCCAAGAAGACCTGTTTGTTTTCTTGGCAGTTCATGGTATGTTTAAGACTTCTCTCTAGCACCACAACTCAAAGGCATCGATTCTTCTTCTATCATCCTTAGTCATTGTCCAGCTCTCTAATGCATAGCAACTAATTGCAGAAACCATGGCCTAGATCAGATGCACATTAGTCTTTAGATTGACTTCGTTGCTTTTTAGTACTTTAGAGAGGTCCCTGAAACCACATTTTCCCAGTGCAATTCATCTTTTGGTTTCCTGACTGCTAGTGCCAAGAGTATTGATTGTGGAGCCAAGCTTTCATCTGTAGTTTTCCATTTTGTTATTCTAACCTTTTAGATAGTTATTCTATGCTTAATGCTTCCTTCCAGGATGAGTTATTTGTTGTATTAAAGAGACAGAATTAAGGAGGGATACAAGCCTCCCACTACTAGAAGATATTACCCAAGTAACCTCTCTTAGTTCTCTTGTACAAAGAGTGACCTCTGTTAACTTCTTAAAGGAGAACTGTCCCCATCAAGAACATCCACAGTATAAAACTAATTCCCCCAAGGTGAAAGCCATGACCTCCTCATTGCTGCATCTACTTCAACTAATTCTGACACTAACTGTACTGTTCTTCTACAGGCTCCAAAATTGATTGGAATGGCCACACATATCTTACAGAACCCTATTCACAGATAATGACTTTATTAGGGAAATAACCAGATTGCAATTCAGATTGGCAACAGGATACAATTCCTCAGTCCCACAGAGCTTTTCAAGCATACTTGCCATCTGAAGTCAGTGTTACAAACTTTCTTTAGTCTTGCCAATTATCACATCTTCCTTCAGTCCTCCAGCAAGCTTGTGTGAAGATCCCTGCCTCTGATTTGGTGGGGTGGTGCAAAGTCAGCTCTGCCTCATTTCAGTGTCTGGTTCTCTGTTGTAGCTAATGCTGCTTTTGTGTAGATCCAGGTCTGACTGACTCAGAAATCTCAGGCCCTGAAGGATGATGGCACACTTCCTTGTCTTTCCTGGTAATGTTGCTAAACTTGCTCAGTTTAAATTTGTTGAGATGGAAAAAATGGACAGGTCCCATAATGATTATACCCACTCGGTTTCAAGTTGTCGGCTAGTCACGTGATGAAAGTCAAAGTGGATGGCTAGGGAAGTAATTTTGAACAAGAAATCCATGACACCCCATCTCGCATAAAGGAAGCTCAAATCTTATTCCCTGGGGACACTGCATCTAACCTGATCTAGGCAATAGCCTCAGCCTGCAGACTCCTGGCTCTCTGTTCACAGTCTCTGCAGCCATCTGCATCAGCCTACATCATCCACAGTCTCACGAGCTATTTCCCAGTTCGTTGAGTTTCTGGAAGACCTTTCATCAAATTACTGAATAAAAAGTCCCAGAGGAGAGTGAAATGAATGGAACGCGGAGGAATAATGAATGTTCGAGATGATGGAGTGAAATGGCAGTTTGGGTATTTCCAACATGTTAACCTCTATCTTAGAGGAAATAGTCTTGGGGAGGGGAGTTAACGTGCATGTCTGTGGGATTTGGAAGTTCCAATGGCCTAGTGATAAGAAGCTACATTGTGATGCAAAAGACACACAGTTCGAATCTACCACCTGCTCCACAGGAGAAGGGTGGGCAGACTTTTCTCGTGTGATTTCCTGCCTCTGAAAACCAGCTAGAGAAGTCAGCTATAACTCGAGAGCACACAACAAAAAACAATAACAATAATGTAGGACTTCACAATAGACTACCAGGCCCTGGAGTGAGCTGTAATAATTAGCAGATCTACTGATGTCTTCCTGGTAGTATTTGCCTCCAAAAAAATTGCATTATTCCATCTGAACATGCTGGTTACTGGAGCCATCCATTTTTCTTAAATGTTTAACAAGGTTTTGAGAAAATAAATGGGACAAGGATAAAATATAAATCTGGCAAGAAACATACGGTTACTGTCTAGTGCAACTTTTTTTGTTTTAATGCTAAAAAATCTGGAGAGAATGAAATCTTAAAGCAAGTAAGGATTTCCAATCTCCCCAAGACTTTAGCCCCTGTTCCCATCCTTCTGTGAAGAAAGAAGCTAAACTAGAAACAAGGTTCCATTGCTTATTAGTTGTGACACTTTACGCAAAATTCTGAATCTTTGTAAGCCACAGTTTTTCAATATATTTAAGTTGTGGCTAGAGCTTATTGCACTAAACTTGGTGCTGATTACTAGCTGTCCCTCCACTGGGCTTCAGAGGTGATAAAGTGCACAGGAGGAGATTGCCAGTCTTTCTTCCACAGAGCAGATGCTAGATTCAAACCACTTGCTTTTGGGTTGGCAACGCAACTCCTTAGCCATTAGGCAACTCAAGCTGCCTATGTTGCTGCTGTTGTTAGGCACTGTTGAGATGACTACAACTAATAGTGAGGCTACAAACGACAGTTCAGAACCCTGTCCTGTCCAGTGTCGTCTTATGATTTCTGCCATTGGTGAGCCCATTGTTGTAGTCTCTATGTCAATCCATCTTGTTGAGTGTCTTCCTCTCTTTCTCTGCCCTTTTATGTTTTGCCGCTTGGTGTCTTTTTCTAAGGACTGGCCCCTCTTGATAACATATGCTGGTAGGATACTCTGAAAAGTATGGTGTCCCTGTAGTAATCACCCAACTTCAACAATTAACATCCACTTCACGTGCTTCTCTGAAAGACAGCTGTTTGGCTGGCTGACTGAAAGTGATCAGTATTTATTCTCATACCAAAAACAGGTGATCCAACAGTGTGGAACTTGTCAAACAATATCACTAATACCACATGCAAGCAAAGCAATTGGAACAGTCCATCAACAGAGAATTACCAGAAATACAAGCTGAGTTTAGAAGAGGCTGTGGCACTAGGGATATCATAGCCAATGTCAGATGGATCTTGGCTGAGAGCAGAGAATACTAAAAGAATGTCTGTCCGTGTCTCATTGACTATGCAAAGAAGTTTGACTGTGTGGATCACAACAAACTGACTGACTCTGAGAGGAATGAGAATTCCAGAACACTTGATTGTGCTCAGGCGAAATCTATACTTGGACCCAGAGGCAGTCGTCAGAACAGAGCAAGGAAACTCGGCATGGTTCAAAATCAGGAAAGGAATACCTCATAGAAGTGTCTCATTTCCATACCTTTTCAATCTATATGTGAAACAGATCATTTGGGAAGAGGGGCTTTATGAGGAGAAGTATGGCATCTGAATTGGAGAAAGACTCATCAACCTGCATTCTACAGATCACACATCCTTGATTGCTGAAAATGAGGAGGGCCTAAAGTGTTTGCTGCAGAAGGTCAAAGACTATAATCTTAAATAAGGATTGAAGCTCAACATCAAGAAGACAAAGATTCTCACAACTAGGCTAATTGGCAGCATCATGATAGTTGGAGAGGAGATTGAGATTGTTAACAATTTCAGCTTTTTTGGTTCCACTCTCATTACTCTTGGCACTAGCAGTTAGGAAATCAAAAGAAATTGCTTTGGGAAGATCTGCTGTCAGGGACCTTTTCTGAGAGCACTAAAGAGCAATAGTGTCAGTCTGGAGACTAAGGTGCACCTGATCCAGTCCATGGTCTTTGCAATTACTTGCTATGCATCCGAGAGCTGGACAATGACTAAGAAAGACAGAAGGAGAATTGATGCCTTCAAATTGTGATGCTGGAGAAGAGTGTTGAACATTTCATAGACCAAAAAGAGAACAAACAGGTCTGTCCTAGAGAGATTGAAACCAAGTTACTCCTTAGAGGTGAACATTTTGAAGCACCATCTCACATACTTTGGGCATGTTGCCAGTAGAGACAAGTCCTTGGAGTAGGATTTATCATGCTTGGAAGGGTGGAGGGACAGTGCAAGAGAGGAAGACCTTGGATCAGAAGGATTGACACAATAATTGAGATAATAAGGTTAGGTTTGTCAGTGACAGTGAGAGTGGCTCAGGATAGGGCAGGGTTCAGAGCTATTGTACATAGGGTCGCCATGAGTCTCAGGTGACTCCATGCCATATAAAAGCAGTAACAACACTTGCATCTAATTTAAATTATTTTCTGTAGATTGAAAAATAATTTGTAGAAATGGAAGCTGTTATGTTAGGGTATTAGTAGAAGTATGGAGACAAATATTGTGCATTATAGAAAATAAAACCCCCCTTAAATCTTTTGTGTATGTTAAGATATTTGTACATATTCTGTTTATATTAAATTTTTAAAGAAAATATGGTAATAAATATAGTCCTTGAGATCTTGGTCATTGTCTGTTTATTGTTCTGTTAGAAGACACTACTGAATGTTTTAATTGCATGAAGTTCAAAGTGAATCTTTTTCTTTTTAGACAGGAAAATTAAGGTTCAACTCTTTATTAACCATATCGTTCTGGTTTCTTTTCTAGGATTTTAAGCTCGACTTTGGCAATCCCCAAGGCAAAGAAAGTCCCACTTGGCATGGAGGTATAGCTACCATTCTCCAAAGTCCTGGTGATGAAGTGTGGGGAGTAATATGGAGAATTAACAAAAGCCATTTAAGTTCTTTGGATAAGTAAGTAGGTGGCTTCTAATTTTACATTAAACAGAAATAATAATTTAAAAAGAAGATTATATTCAAGGATATGTATATTGGGTTTCAAAACAGTATACTATAAACTTTTTTTCACACTTAGGGTCGACATTGAGATATGATTTTGCTTAAAATAAAGACCTAGAAAGACTGTGCTTCCTGACTGAGATTTGAGGGAATATTTGCAATTTCTTCTATAAACTAAGAATGCAAACGTCTCATTTTCATTCCACTTATTTGTCTTTTATAAAAATCTTTTTCTGAAGTTTCATACTGTGGAAATGCATGAAGAGTTTCATCATTACTCCGTACATCTATTGATTCCTAGAGGAGTTATCTGGGTTTCTTTAGATTCAGTTTTTGGAAAATTATTATTAAAGATGGCAGTTGCATCAGTTAGTAATGATAATTGTAAGAGCAGCAAACATATTGACATGTTTTGATACTTTTTTACAAGTAGAACTCTCTAAGTTGTGTGGCATTTGAGAAGGAATAAGGCTTGAGGGTAATTTCTCTCATCTACTTAATACTCCTCTTAATTAACAACAAGAATCTTTTTCTTTTTTGATGAGTATCTATTTGCTGTCTTAAAATAAAAGTCCTTTTTTTTTGTAGTGTTGGTGTTGTTGATTGCCTTCGAGTTGAGCATGACTCATAGCGCCCCTAAGAACACAAGACCTGAAATCCCTCTACAACTATGGACATTTATCAAAGTTCATAGAGTTTTTGGAAGCATGTTATTTAGGAAGTGGATGCACACCTGCTTCCAAACTTGTCATAGTATGTTATTATTGTTATGTGCCATTGAGTTTTGTAGTGTAGAAGGCAATTTTTAAGGAGTATAAAACTGAAAAAACTATATTGAAGTATGTTTTAAGGAAGAACAACTACAGATCTATTAAATATATACAAAACTAGAATTTTAACTGTGGTTGCATTGAATCAATAAGATTACTTTTGCTATGGTGGCACTGAAAATATGCTCTTTTATGTCCCCAAATACATTGGTAACAACTACTATATGTAATTTTAATTCAATACCCCAAGAGTCTTGACCTTATCATGGACAGCCAAGAATACAAACAGGTCAGTCTTAGAGAGTGTGAAACGAAGTTTCTCCTCAGAAGTTAGGATTTGGAAGCTCGATATCACATACTTTGGGCACGTGGCCAGGAGGGACCTGTCATTAGAGAAGGACATCATGCTTGGAAGGGTGGAGGGACAGCACAGGAAAGGAAGACTTCAAATGAGATGGATCAATTCAATAACTGGGACAATGGGAGTAGGTGTGTCAGAGTCAGTAAGGCTGGCTAAGGACAGGGCAGGCTTCAGAGCTCCTGTACAGAGGGTCACTGAGTCACAGGCGACTCAACAGAACCTAACAACAATAACCCAAATTTAATTAAGACTTTCCCCAGTAAACTAAGTTGTGTATATTGAGTATGGTTAAAATTTGGCTTTTCTGGTTTCAGGCAAGAAGGGGTTAGCAGTGGAATGTATGCTGTAATAGAAGTTACAGTTTGCACTCAAGAAAAAAAAGAAATAACCTGTCGAAGCTATCAGATGCAAAACTACGATAGTGTTCCCCCATCACCACAGTATAAAGCGGTAAGCTACTGAACAACGATTTCTTTTTTAAGGTAGAAAATAGCATACCTGAATTGTGTGCGCACGTTATGTTTTGGGAGCTCTGGCATCTTCACCCCTAGGGAATTGAGCAACTAACCTAAGCTGCAGGCCTCTCTGGCGGTTCAAATCCCCCAGCTGTTCTGTGGGAGAGAGATGAGCAGTCTCCCCCCCGTGATTTACAGCCTTGGAAAAGCCACAACAAGGTCAACGAGTTGGTCCTGATTCAACAGCAATGAGAGTTTGAAAAAGGTGTATTTTTAATTGGTTTACTAATCATTTAATCCCACTGCCATTAAATCCATTCCAATCCATAGCGACCCTAAAGAACTGAGTAGAACCACTCTACAAGGTTTTCAAGGCTGAAAATTTTTAGCGAAGCATTTTTTCTCCCACAAAATAACTGACAATGTGGCTAGTGGTTCAAACTGCCAACCTGTTGGTTCACAGCCAAGTTCTTTAACCATTGCACCAGCAGAGCTTCCTCCACAAAACAGTATTTCATGAACAAGAAGAGAGAAAAATATTTTTTTTAATGAGGAAACTACCTATTTCTGGCTTTTAAAATTTTTTTCTCTGTATTTCCTTTTAGATTTAGACATAGGAAAAAACGTGGGATAACAATCTCAGCATTGTTTTTCAGAAATGCAAATGGAAGGTCCCTGTTTTCAGGGCCAATGAGGCCATGCCATCTGGAATGTGTGTTTCAGTTCTTAGCCTTATCCCAGCATTTTCCAGAACGGACCCCTGGGGGCTTAACCTGGTGCAGATCTTGGAAACATCAATGAACGTAATAGCCATCCTTTGTTTTCCCCCATGTCTAATTTAGAGCAAGAGCAGATTCTAGTGGTAATGTAGAAACTGCTTCCTATAAACTTAAAAATATTTTTGAAGAAGGGTGTTTTTGTCTTAAAAATTCAAACAAATTTTATGCCATCGTATTTATTTACAAATGTGTATGTGTGTGTGTGTGTGTAGACAGATATAGACAGACAGATAGACAGACTGGTAGAAAAGATATTTTTGTCTGTAAAAGTAAAAGCAACAAGACATATGCCTGTTAACAATTTTTATATGTACAGTTTGTTGACAATGGTTATATTCTTCAGTACTTCACCATTCTTACTATTTCTGCTTCTGTTGTTTTACCACTGGCAACATAGAATCTCTGCCCCTTAAAATTCTCATCTGGAGTTTTGAGTTACTGTTATTTCACTATTATATAATAATCTTCTATAGGGTACAGTGGTCAAGAGAGTAATTTTTTATTGAGCTAAATTGTGGCTTAGTGTAAATAGAACTTTATGGAGTAGTTTCAGCTCAGTCTGAAAGTCAAGGCTAAAACCCTAAATTCAAGAGTCTCACTAGCTGTAGTGAGTCTAGTTACCAATAAGACTTTGAACTTCTGACCCATCTACTGAGACCCTGACCCAACGTTCACTATCAATGGTTGGGCACATCCATTTCTTCTCATCTTGTGGCAAAAGAGTAGTTGTCTAGGGAAGCAAAATCAGACCTGCAAAGCATATCTTTCTATAGTTCCTGTCTCCTTCTTCTCTTGCTCTAGGTTATTAGAAACCAATTATTTTACCCATAATCTATATTTTGTCCTATTATACTATATAAGATTATTACATTGCTTTAAAAACTATACATCCATACTTAGCATGAAAAGGAATACATTGTTCTTTAACTGGTCTAGTTGTTGTTAAGTGTCATCGAGTATGACTCACATTGAACCTATGAACAGCAGATCTGAACCCTGTCCTACCCTGAGCTAATCTCAATCTCTGACACAATAGAGCCCATCGCTGCAGTCACTCTGTCAATGCAGCTGGTTGAGGGTCTTCTTCTCCTTTGTTGTCCCTCCACATCAGTTGTTTTAGAGTTATCCAAAATTTGAATGAAGGCAAAGATACTGTGCTTTGACAATACACATAAAGCTGTGGTATTTAAATTTTGCTCCTAACTAAAAGGATCTTTGTTTGTTTTAATCATTTCTAGGTCATTTGCATGGGTGCAAAAGAGAATGATTTGCCACTGGACTATCAACAGAAGTTAAAAGCAATAGAACCAAATGACTTCAAAGGAAAGCTCTCAAAAGAAATTGAAGATATGATTGAAAGAGGAAAAGAGAAACTAAGTACTAAAACAAACTAGACAATATCCACAGAGAGAGAGACCTATCTGAGGATATCTATGTGCTGTTCGAAGGCATGTTTAATGTTTGAGAAGACAGACCTGAGATATCTGTATGTTTAAAGGATTTTAAACACTACTCTGAGAGGATTTCTCACCTGAGGGTTCTTTCTTTTCAGGCAAAACCAAAACTGGGTTAGGAGTTAGACAAATGTAAGATGGAGCTAACATTTAAGGCATTGGAATGCATGGCAAATGGATATTGGTACTTTTTTCTCAGAACATGGAAAGCTGTTTTCTGGAATTGATTTTAAGTGTATTCTAGCTCTGTGGCAAAGGATAAATTTATAGCCTGCCTAATGATGGTGCTGGTGAATGGTGATCTGCTCTGTCTCAGATTTTTAGTCCAGTTTAATAAGAGCAAGCAAACTGCTGAGACAGGTGATAATGAAACTTTACAAATTGGAAGATGGTATACTCTTTTCTGGGGAATAAATGCTCATGATATGTGGTCATTGTGTGCTATCAAGTGACTCTCCCATGGGTTTTCAGAGACAGTTAATCACACAGGAGAAGACTGCCCATCTTTCTCCGTTGGAGCAATTGATGGATTCAAACCATGTGCCTTCTGGATTGCAGTACAGCTTCTTACCACTAGGCTACCAGAGCATCCTCTTATGTAGTGGTGGTTGTTGTTGCTGATAACAACCCATAGCGACCCTATGAAGAACAGATCTGAACGCTGCCCCATCCCGTGCTGTCTTCACAGTCTCTGACACAGCCCATTGTTACAGTCACCGTGTCAACCCACCTGGTCTCACTCTCCTTCACTGAGCCTCCACTTTTTCAAGCATGATGTCCCACTCCAAGGAATAACGTCTCCTAGCAACAGGCCCCAAGTGTGTGAGACAAAGCTTCATCATCTTTGCCTCCAACTAGCACTCTGGCTGCACCTTCTCCAAGATACACCTGTTTGTTCTTTTGGCAGTCCGTGGGATATTCAGTACTCTTCTCTATACCACAGTTCAAAGGCATCAATTCTTTCGTCATCCTTAGTCATTGTCCAGCTCTCAGATGCATAGCAAGTGACTGAAAAGAAGGACTCAGGTCATCACATGTGATGGGTCTGATATTGGTCCCATATATAGTTTCTATTAGATGAGAGAGAATTTCTGGTGCTAGACAAGCAGAATTGTCAGTCACATCCCTTTCTAGCTATGAAAAACTAAGTTTCAGAAAAACTTGATATTTGACTTATCAAGAAATTATATCTTGACATTTATTAAGTAAGTGAAGGGGCAAAGAGCTGTGAAAAAAGTAATACTGACTTTAAAAATCTCTTAGAGGGAATGTAGTGATCTACATCATTGAAACAGGCTACTGGTATGAGTGTGAAGGAGCCAAGTAGCATAAAATAAAGGTGGTTTTGTTCTCTAGGGGGACAAATGACAAAAGCAACTTTCAGGCTGGGGCAACAATTCTGTAGTGAGACAGACCCATAGAATACAAGTTAGACTGTTTTAGAGCTTACATTCCTCACTATTTACGTGGTTTTCTCCAATTTTTCCAACTCCTGGTTCCCAAGAATACCAAGTTTGTAAGGACCCAGAGCTCAGTTATGGTAATTCAATGAATAAAAGCCACTTTTGCAATAACTTACATTACCATAATACATTCTACCCAAGTAAAATAATACATTTCATTAAAGAATCAAAAGTATCTTCAAGACTGACTTCTTTAACATAAATCTGGTAGTACTCTATTTCCAGTTGTTTTCCACATAATGACACATGTAAGGGATTTCCATTTCTACCAGGGTTTGGTACCCTTGCCACAATACAATCAGATAGTTTTGTCAATAATTTCTGGGCTTGAAACAAAGTAAGGAAAATCTTCAAGGTGTACCAATACCCCTACGAAAAGAAAGGATAAAGTAAGATGAAGTGAGCTGAAAGTAGGACAGACAGTACTGAGAAGCACATGGCTAATGTCCTTGGGTGAAAATGCCGATAATAGCCCTGAAACGCTCTGTTGAAGAGAAAGAAAATGAAACTTGACGCTCTGGAGCCAGAAACTTGGAAGAGTCCTAAATGGTACCTTGTTGGTATCTTCAATGGTTCCTGGCAGAGGCAAATGCAAATCCTGTGTGGAAAAGCAATGGTAATTTGTTATTGTTGTTGTTAGGTGCCGTCCAGTCAAATACAGTTGACAGTGACCCTATGAACAGAGCTGAACTTCACCCTATCCTGTGCCAACCTCACAATCTCCAACACACTCAAGCCCATTGCTACAGTCACTGTCAGCCCACCTAGATGAGGGTTTTCCCCTCTTGCTGTCTCCCTACCTTTCCAATTATGTTGTCCTTTGCAAAGAATAGCCTTTCCTAGCAACATGCCCAAAGTATGTGAGAGAAAGCTTCACCATCCTTGCCTTCAAGGACCACTCTGGATGCACTTTCTCCAAGAAGTATTTGTTCTTTTGGCAGTCCAGGGTACATTCAGTACTCTTCTCCAACACCACACTGGAAAGGCATCAATTTTCTTCTGTCATTCTTTTTCTTTGTCCAGTTCTCAGCAGCATAGCAAGTGATTGAAGACTCTAGTCTGAATTAAGTACACCTTAGTCTTCAAACTAACATCATTGCTTCTCATTAATTTGGAGAGGTCCCTGACTACAGACTTTCTCAGTGTAATAAATCTGCTGACCTTTTAACTTCTGGTACCAAATGTATCGATTGTGGATCCAAGTAAGATGAAGTTGTTGACAGTTCAACCTTTTTTTTTTTATCTTTCATGATGTCATCTGTCAGTCCAGTAGTGAAAATTTTGTTTTCTTGGTATTGAGATATAATCTATATGGAAGGATATAGTCTTCATCTTCAGCAGCAAGTACTTAAAGTCCTCAATTTAGCAAGTAAGGTGTCATCTACATAATAAAGGTTATTGATGAGTGTGCCTTCAATCTTGATACCATGTTCTTCATATAGTCCAGCTTCTTGAACACGATTGAATAGATATGATGAAAAGATACATGCATGCCTTTCTTAATTTTAAGCTATGGCGTATTCCCTTGTTTGTTTACACAACAGTCTCCTGGTCTAGGTACAGATTTCACATGACCACGGGATGAATAGGCGCCATCATGTTAGATGGAGAAAAAATTGCAACTATCAATTACTTTGTCCTACTTGAATCCACAACCCAAGATTTACTTTTGCCTATTCTTCCCACTGATGCGTTTGAACTGTGGTCTTGGTGAAGAATACTGAACTGACTGCCAAAATAAAAAACAATTACGTCTTGGAAAAAGTGTAGCCACAGTGCTTCTCGGAGGTAAAGATGGTAAAGCTTCGTCTCCCATACTTCCGGCATGTTGCTCCGAGACGCTATTCCTTGGAGAAAGACATCATACCTGAAAAGTGGTTGGTCAGCTAAAGAGAGGAAGCCCTGCAACCAGATGGATTGATGTAGTGACTGTGGCAATGGATCCAAGTGTGTCAGGGATGATGAGGACAGACAAGGCAGGACAGGGTGCAGATCTGTTATTCAGAGCGTCCCTATGAGTTGTACTCAACTTGATGGCACCTAACAACAACAGTTTCCCCATTAAGTGTAACCACTCCCTACCTCCCTTACTCGTTACCACTGAGTAGACTCATCTTTTTTTTTTTTTTATGCCTGAAAGTTTGGGTTTTTTAAATTTTAAAATTTTTAAAATTTTCATTAATTTTAATGAAGGTTTACAGAGACTTTTGATTTCCATTCATTCATTGTTGCACTTTTCTCCCTGTCTACCCCTCCCCATCAATTCCCTCTTCTCTTTGAAAAAGGAAAGAAAAATTCTTTCGTTATTATACAATCCCTTCCCCCAAGTCCATTCCACTCTGCAGCCTTCATTCTGGACTCATGTCATGACAATAATACCTAAACACATATCCCTTTTAAACAGTTCTCTCCCTCATCTGTTTCAGTGCAGTATACATAATTTATCCCATCTTTCTCAGTGTCCCCTCAACTCCGATGTCAGTCCCATTTTACAACAGTGTCACTATGCAAAATTTGTCCTTTTGTGACTGGGATATTTGACTCAGCATAATGTCCTCCAGGGTCACCTATTTTGTGTAATATTTCAAGAGTTCCCTGTTTTTCAAAGCAGCACAGTATTCCATTGTGTGAATATACCACAGCTTCTCTATCCATTTGTTTGTTGATGGGCACTTGGGTTGTTTCCAACTTTGCTATTGTGAACAAAGTTGAATATAGGAGTGCATATATCTGCTTGGGTGGTGGTTAGGGTTTCTTTAGGGTATATCCCCAGTAATGGAATTACTGGGTCAAATGGTATTTCTATTTGTAACTTTTTGAAAAAGCACCATACTGCCTTCCATAGTGGCTGCACCATTTTACACTCCCACCAACAGTGAATAAGTGTTCCAGTTTCTCCACAACCTCGCTAGCATTTGTTCCTTGCTATTCTGTTAAATTTTGCTATTCTTACTTGTGTGAGATGATGTCTCATAGTTGTTTTGATTTGAAGGATTTTGAACATTTCTTCATGTGTTTGTTTGCCATCTGAATGTCTTCTTTGGTGAAGTGTCTGTTCATATCCTGTGCCCATTTTTCAATTGGGTTGTTTACCTTTATCTTGTGATTCTGCCTAAAAGTTTTAATTTAAAAAAAATCTTCAGGATCTGGGTTCTGCAAAGAGTTCTGAGATTTGACACAAAAAAAACATGATTTTGCATTGTTGTTCTGCACCATCGAGTCAGAACTGACCTGTAGCTGACCCTCCAATGTGTTTTCAGAGGCAGTAAATCGCACATGAAGAGACAGCCCATCTTTCTCCTGTGGAGCAGCTGGTGGGTTTGAACCATGTTCTTTTGTGTTTGCAGCACAGTTCCTTACCATTCAACTACCAGAGTGCCCTCCAAACACATGATATATAACAAAATTAATAACTGGGACTTAAAAGAATTTAAAACATTTGTGCTTCAAACATTTTTTGTTAAGACATATACACAG